TCAACACTTAAACTTACTTTTGGGTGAGTGTTGAAGCTGCCTATCTTCCTGCCTGAGACTAATAGGGGTCTGGCTTTCAGTACTACTGGGTATACGTCCTTGTCTTTGAGATAGCCTAGAAAATAGAAAAGGGCTTTAGAAATTCAAGAGTTGCATAAGCGGCCACATGCAGGCAAAAAACAGGCTACATTTTCCAAAACAACCTCTAGAACTAAGGTACAAGTATTTGCACCCATAGTTGCATTCATTTAGAAGCCTAGCTAGCTGTATCTGACTGCCAATTAGTTATCTAAATGGGTTCAATTAACTACACATGTAAACACGGGGAGGGCAAAATTTTAAGCCTGGATATAATTACCATTTCACAGAGCAGGCGGCAGAGTTCTTTACCCTGTGTTCTCTAGCTTATCTACCTAACAGCCAATTCAACTAATTGGACTATCACTCGGCTCTGGAATTTGGCAATAATGAATAAAAATATTTAAGAAACTACCTTAGTTTAATAAATCTTTTTTTAAAATTCCATTAAAAATCCTATACTAAGAAAATTTTAAAGTCACATAAAAAATTTAAAAGCCAGGAAATGCCAGTGGTTAAATTGCACATTCAACTTGCCTGACTCTGGAGTGTTTAAATGTGCAACTGTAATGTTTTCAACATATTTTCTATTTATGGAATATATTTAGGCAACTAACCAACAATATCAGATAAAGAATACAGTACAATCCATAGTGAATACTATTTGCTATGACTGTAGGTGTTCGACCTGCAATAAATACACTTAACCATTCCTGCAATTTTTAATTGACACACTGTATGTTTTAAAACTAAGCCTTACTGTATCCCTCAGGGATGAAGAGGCAGCAATGACCAGCACATATGATACCCTTACTAACATCCAGCATTTTCTATAAAATGCTGCAGTTGCAGTACAGTGGGAGATTAAGAAGGCTTTCCAGTGCAGAAATGTAGTTCTTCAGTGAAACTCCTGGTCAAGTTAATTGAATGTTCAAAGGAAAAAGATAAGATGAGATAAGGTGTTTTTTTATCACTATGAGTAGTGACAGTACACACATACAGAGATTTGGAGACAGTGTTTTATAATATGGTCCAAAAACATTTAGCAGTCTAATGAACTTTGTTATCCACAACATTTAAGTAGAGATGTGGTGAATCTCAAAATGAAATCTGCTGGTACACAAATCTGGTCATTTTGCTGGATTCAGATTTATACAAATCTGCTTCTGAAATTTGACACAAATATTGGACACCTAGAATAATTAAAATGGCTACTAGTATATGAGAGTAAGATATTTTAAGTATGGCTCAGATTCTGTTCTTGCTCATTCAGCATCTCCTTTTGGCTACCCTGATACTGTGTCATATCCTGTACTCATTCCATCAGATTCCCAGCTCCTGCCATCCATCCTGTCCCAACACTTCTTCCCATTCTCCCACCTACTCTCTCCCACTGGTCCTGCTTTCAACTGTCCTGAACCTGTACTCTATCGTTCATCAGTTCTCTCGCACTGCAGCATCTTCCCTCCAGCCCAGCTCTGAGCCCAGTGTCCCATCCATTCCCTCTTAATGTCACCTGTCTCTTGCCACCCAAACACTGTAGCCTGTCCCCCACATGCTGCTTAGTACAGCAGATTGCTGCCTGTAACCCTGACCAGATGGCTCTTATGAATCCCCACAGTTTTTAGAATCAAGTATTTTTGTTTAATAAGAAAGACCAAGGATTTGATATTGAAAACATTTCAAAAAATTATTTTACCCATTCTTATTATCAAGAGCAAGAATCGTAAAGAGCATTGTGTACTGTACAGTATCTTCACAGTTTTCTCTGTTTCTACGATCCAGAGCCTCTTATGAACAGCAAGCTTAATCAAAGTTTGCTAGACTGCTCTGGTTTTATTGGTATGTATTTCAGTTCAGTAACTCATTGCAGGGAGGATTATGATTTATGGGCTTTTTTTTTGGAAGAGCAGTGTTTTGAGGAGGGACCTTAATGAGCAAGCATGCAGTTTGGGTTATAAGAACATAAGAATAGCGATACTGGGTCAGATCAATAGTCCATCAATCCCAGTATCCTTTCTTCTGACAGTAGTCAATGCCAGGTGCTTCAGAGGGAATAAACAGAACAGAGCAAATATTGAGTGATCTATTGTTCACGCCCAGCTTCTGGCAATCAGACGCTCGGGACACTCAGAGCATGGGTTTCATCCCTGACCATTTTGGCTAATAGCCATTGATGGACCTATCCTCCATGAACATATATAGTTCGTTTTTGAACCCCCATTATAGCTTTGGCCTTCACAACATCCTCTGGCAACAAGTTCCACAGGCTGACTGTGCGTTCCTTTTGTTTGTTTTTAATGTGCTGCCTATTAATTTCATTGGGTGATCCCTAGTTCTTGTGTTATGTGAAGGAGTAAATAACACTTCCATATTCACTTTCTCCACACAAGTCGTGATTTTATAGACCTCTATCATATCTCCTCTTAGTCGCCTCTTTTCCAAGTTGAAAAGTCCCAGTCTTTTTAATTTCTCCTCATACAAAAACTGTTCCATGCAGGGCCGGCTCTAGGCACCAGCAAAACAAGCTGGTGCTTGGGGCGGCACATTTGTAGGGGCGGCATGGCCCGCGCCGGCCATGCCGCCCCTAAAATTGTGCCCCAGCCGCTCTAACTCACCTCTGCTGCTGCCGCTCGCGCGCCATTGCTCCCCCTCCCTCCCGGGTTTGAGAGCCTGGGAGGGAGGGGGAGCAGCGGCACGCGAATCAGCTGTCTCGCGTGCCGCGGCCACTCGGGATCTCCCCCTCCCTCCCAGGTTTGAGAGCCTGGGAGGGAGGGGGAGACCCCGAGCGGCTGCGGCGCGCGAAACAGCTGATTCGCATGCCGTGGCTGCTCAGGATCTCTCCCTCCCTCCCAGGTTTGAAAGCCTGGGAGGGAGGGGGAGACCCCGAGTGGCCGCGGCGCACGCGCTGCTTCTCCCTTTCCCTCCCTCCCTCCTAGGCTTGAGAGCCTATGGGGAGGAGGCAGGGCTGGGGATTTGGGGAAGGGGCGGAGTTGAGGCGGCGCCAGGGGTGGGGTAAGAAAAAAATGGGGGGCGGCCAAAATTGTTTTTGCTTAGGGCGGCAAAAATCCTAGAGCCGGCCCTGGTCCCATGCCCTAATAATTTTTGTTGTCCTTCTCCATACCTTTCCCAATTCTAATATATCTTTTTTTGAGATAGGATGACAAGAACTGCCCAGATTGTTCAACGTGTGGGCATACAATGGATATAGATATAGTGGCATTGTGATATTTTCTGTCATATTATCTATCCCTTTCCTAATGGTTCCTAATATTCTGTTAGTTTTTTGACTGCCTCTGCAAACTGAGCAGATGTTTTCAGAGAACTATCCACAATGACTGCAAGATCTCTTTCTTGAGTGATAACAGCCTATTTGGACCCCATCATTTTGTATGTATAGTTGGGATTATGTTTTCCAAAGCAGATTACTTTATATTTATCGACACTGAATTTCATCCGCCATTTTGTTGCCCAGCCACCCAGTTTTGTGGGATACCTTTGTAACTCTTTGCAGTTTGCTTTGGACTTAACTATCTTGAAAAAATGTGTATCATCTGCAAACTTTGTCACCTCACTGTTTACCCCTTTTTCCAGAACATTTATGAATATGCTGAACAGCACTGGTCCAGGTACAGATCCCTGGAGGGCACCAGTATTTACCTCTCTCAACTCTAAAAACTGACCATTTATCCCTGCCCTAGCAGAAAGGGTGTTCTAGGCAGATAGGTCAACATGTAGAAAGGACAAGAGATAGAAGTGAGAAAAGAATGTGAAGAGGGCAGGAAATGGTGTGGCTTGGACAGACTGAAGGGTGGAGTTGGAACACTGGATGGCAGTTGAGAATAAGAATAGGTAGGGGAAAAGTTTGCAGGGCCTTTCAGGAGAGAATACGTTTTTCAAGTTAAACGTGAGGGGCAGTCAAGAGAAAGCTAGTGAAGGGACTGAAGAAGGGCCTGACATGGTCAGAGATGCAGGAAAAGCAAATGATTTGGTTAGATGAAAAATGGGTACATGGCCTACTCTCTCAAACAGTAAAAGATTCCAAGACACAGTTTTACTTGCTTTTGCTCATATTTTCCATCACAAATTCACTATTTGGCCAGATAGAAATCCTTTAAAAATGACAATATTTGCATACAAATTACATATGAATAGAATATTTGTCACATCCCTAATTAAATAAAGGACATTACTTCATAAAACAGAACTTGATTAAGAATCAACTTGATTTCTGCAAAAAAGGAACATCTTGCAATAACACAAGCAAAACACACTACTGACAGCGGAAGAATGGCTATCCTCCAAACCACAATTTATATAAATGACAGTAACACTAAGTTACTCAATAACTTAGATGTTACTAAATACTTAATCTACAGGCTTCAAAACAGAATGGCTTTATTGGATATCTGTCATTCATTAGATCATATAACTGAGCAGTGCAAATATTTATGACTTTATATATCATATTACATAACTGCCACCTCCCTTGCTCATTTGAAGCAAAATCAAATCCTATTAGGTTCCAGGACAAATTGAAATCAGTGGAATGATTGCCACTGACTTCAATGAGCACATGATTGGGCCCTGAGAATATGCCACTGTTTTCTTTTTCTCTTTTCCCTTCTTCTTAAATGGATGAAGGAGTGGTAAATGTATTTGGGAGCTTAAGAATTTTAAAAAAGATTTTATTATTATTTGTATAACTTGTATACATATGACAAAAGTTAACAGAGATTGAATATTTTAAAAGAAAATTATCCATACCAGTTTAAATCTCGGCTTTGATTTTCTGTGTCTGAGGTGTCACTATTGGTGCCATGGCTTGTTTCATCCCGAGGTAGATAGGTGCTACCAGAAGATTTTGGGATTCTGTACATGTTTTTATTTGCTTTGCACTCACCACTGAAAGAAGAGGAGCATGAAAATGAGGTGAAATAAGGTATTAATCATATTAATTATTATTATTATTTATGACCCACAATTTTAATAATTAATTTTAAATAACGTAATATCTAGTCATTTTAAGTCTTCTTTGAAAGGAAAGCTGTCCTTGTATTGCACTTGCCTTCTGGATAGATAGTGAGTAACATCATAATAAGAGGAGTCAACCTAGAATGTCCTTTGCCCTACTCAGTGCTGCTAAATATGTCACAGGCTGCTCTTGGTGATATCATAATGAACAAGCCAAGCATAAGGTTCCTGAGCTCAGCCAGAAAAGATGGGACATACGTTCAACATTCTTATTTCAAGAGACTCAACGAGTGAAAAAATATCATGGAGCTGAATCCTCCAAGGTTGTCTCCTGTGAAAGGCTGAACTCCTTTTATTCCCATTGAAATTCAGATTTTAGGACCAGAAGAAACCATTATGATCATCTCTGATACATAAATCAAGAGGACTTCCCTGAATTCATTAATAAGCATTAAGGGCAGGAGCTCCCAAACTGAGGACCTTACATTTCTTACAATCTGTCAAGAGCTGGCAGATTAGTCTCTTGTCTCTACTAGTTGTTTCTACAGGTACCCACGTCCTTCATTGGAGTCCTTCAATAAGAGTTTGCATGTCTGCAAAAGGAGAAAGTAGCATGGCTGTCTCCCCTTGTAGTTGCTGCTATATAGGAAGAGAGGAAATAGGAGCCACCTTTAGAGACCATCGGAATCATCAGAAGAGTCAAAAATAGTTTCTTATTACTTTTCTACGTAAGCAATTGCTACGGTTGCCAGAGGGGTGCTGTGCAATCAGAAAGGTGATGGAAGATGGTCTGGGCAATCAGAAACAGTGGGAAGAACGGGAGAAACCCCCAAGAAAATGTGAAAACACCTCACTCAGGTCCCCAACTCAGTCAGAACTGCCAATCCTGCGTGCTGGGCTGTACTGCACCTCACGTATCAAGGAGTTGAGTGGCATTTGCACCAACAAGAGGGAAAGGCTCTGTCTTGCTCTTTTCCTCAAGCCATCTCTAAACTGGTATTTTCAGGTGCAATGATGGTGTGCATTGGCTGAGGTGCAGTCACCAACATGCCAATCACATTTAGCGCACCCTGAGGCAGAACAGACCATGGAGTGCACTCAACAGGGCCACAGTACAAGGTATGCTATAATCAGAGGTGCAACTGCAGCAAGCCTGGGCATACCGAGCTAGCTTTGATGGAGCCAGCTCAACTAATAATAACCTCCTAAGCCCCGCCTCACCCTCTACATTGCTAAAAGCAACAGAGGGTCCTGTTGCACCTTTAAGACTAACAGAAGTATTGGAGCATAAGCTTTCGTGGGTGAATGCCCACTTCATCAGACGCAAGTTGTCCCGGTGCTAGGGGCGGGCAGTGCCTGTGCACTACATGCAGTCCCTAAGGGCTATGCAGTGTAGACGGACCACGGGTTACAGCCCCACCCAGGCTCTAACACCACCCGCACAGGCGCCGGTGCCCATCACGTGCCACGGCCACCCCTGAGGCCGCAGCCCATCGGGGCGGGGTCCTGCGCTGGGCGGGTCCCGTCACTCACTCACTCACCCTCCCCTTCGCGCGCGCGACGTCTGTAGCGGCTCGCGGGCCCGCCCGCGTCCTTCCCTCTGCCCCCTGGAGTCCCGCCTCCGCCACGCGCGGCCTTGAAAGAGTCCCCGTTGCCATGGAAACGGGGATTGTTGTGGTTGTTGCTGAAGGCGGCGTGGTGCTGGGTCGGTTCCTTCCAGCGCGCGCGCGTGAGCCAAGTTCTAAAGGGACCTGCCCCCACCCCTCGCACTCCTGGTAAGGGACCCCGAAAGTTGGGGGAGGGGAGGCGTGTCTGTCAGGGGGTCGGGCTGTTTGTCTGTCTGTCTGTTGGGGTGGAGTGTCTGTGCCTCCCTGATCAGGTTGGGTGGGGGGTGTCAAGCTGAGCCCTTTCCCTTGTTCGGGGTGGGGGCTTCCAGGCTACATCCCACCATGCCCAGGTGGCTGCTTTAGTTCAGGGGACCCCTGCCTTATGCTGGTCATGGCCAGACTGTAGGGCACTAGGAGCTGGGGGAGAGGGGCAGGTCTATGCACCATCTGGTTAAACAGGGGCAAATACAACTGGGGATTTGGAGGGGCTCTAGCCCCTCAAAAAGAACAACAAATCAGGAACCCCTGAGCCTGGAACAGAAGTTTATCTCACTTAATTAAAAGTGGGCAGACTTAATCTTGGTACAAAGCTACTCACTGAAGCGATATTCAACAGCTGTTATTTTATTATTAACTTTAGCCCTGCCCCAATAAAAAAAAGTTGTCTACGCTCCTGTTAAATAACTATTTTTGTCTTTCCTTTTTTTGACCCTTCCTTCATATAGGCTTGAGGAATGAGGAATATGAGCAAAGAGCCCTCTGGACCCCCCAACCGATATGCTCCTTGTGGCAAGTATACTGTTTGCTCTCCGTATGTAAATGTACATTTTGACATATATAGGGTATGAAAAATGAACGGAACCCTTTGCTTCCTAAGAAGGGAGACTTCACATATACTACCTACTATATCAGCATTTTATTCTGTGGGGAACATGCATCCCTCAATGTCGTAATCCTTGATATTTTTGGTGGGGAAGGATGAGGCTGATAGTGGAATTTCCTTTGGGTTCTTTCTAGCCTGGTCACACAAGACATTCAAGACAGGACTCTGAGATGCTCTTCAACCTCACCAATGTGAGGAAACAACCATTTCCCATTTTGCCCTTCATCTGTTTTCCTTGTTTGGAACACCCCCCTCTCCTGTGTCAAGGCAGCAGCTAATGCCACCCACACTATAATCCAGCTAGTTAGATGCACTTTACCAAGTGCCCTTATCTGCCCTGAGCATCATGACATCATCTCCAGGACATGCCTGAGTACTGGCCTAAAGACCCAAGGTTGTTCCCAGACTTCAGTTTTGCATGTAGTACCCAGCAGCAGTCACCACTTTTCAAGAAAATTAGTCAACTCAGATCTAAAAGTCACTTTTTCTTATAAATAGCATTGTGAAAGAAGGAAGTGAACTTACTTTGATGAAGTTAACTAAATTTTTTTAATGTAGTGGTTTGTGTGGAATTTGTAGTGATGGAATAATATTTGTCTTGTAAATCAGTAGTTTGTGTTTTCTTTGTTCTAGTTTATTAACAGAGTTTTAAGAATTTATGGGAGATTCCAAGGTACATCACAGAGTTGCCCCCCGCAGTAGGTCTTCCTCAGACGCTTCCTACAGATTTGAGCATGATTTTTGTTTGTTGCTCCTGACTGTACCCTTTATTCTTTCCATACCAAGAGTTATTTTGTTTCTAAATAGTGCAGATGTTCTGCTTCCCCAGTGCTGCCTGAGAGAAACTCAACTGAGATAAAACCAGCTTTAAAATTTCACAGTCTGGTTTATAAATCAGAACATAGGGTAGCCTGTTCAGTTGGGGTCACGGGTCCTTTTTACAGGAGGTTCCCAGAAGGTCTCAAATTGTTTCTGTTGCCAATGGGTAGGCCATTGGCATTTTCCATTATAAACTAATTTTAAAGAGTTTGTAATTCAACTCTGAAAACTCGCTGGGCTTAAAGTCTTAAATACAAACACGACAAATATGTTTGAATAAGGTACGGTTCCAAGTTGGTACTTACCCTGCAAGTTAACTGGGATGAAAAGGTTCCTGATAATGAGCAGTTCGATGAAACATCCCGTTCCAGGTGGACCAATTAGTAAGTGTGGTGAAAAAAAACCCAACAATCTAATGCGTCTTGCCTCTGCCACTAAGGAAAGATCTTTTATTTTTTAATAGTCATTTATACATTCCTTCCATTGCCATTACATGGAATATATTAACTGATTTCAATGGAAGAGCTGTTTACTTAAAAACCACAGTTTTGTCTGAACATGTTTTACCTACACTTGCTATAAGTAACATCTAAGATTGTTATAATTTAAGATTAGTAAATAAAAAATCTTCTCTTTTTCCTGCATATTTACTTTGTGCTTTGACAGCACAATTGTGTCTATTCTGTTTAACCATTTTTCCCATATAGTCAGCCGTCCATTTCCCTTATTTGTGTGGGTTGTTCCTACAGTAATGGGAGTGGAAATGTTTGGGGGGGGGGAAGGAAAATGTGAGTATAAAACTACAAAATGTGGGAGGAAGATTCAAGGGCAGATGTAGTACATCAAGCTACTCCCAGCTCACTTTTTGAAACTGACTTGATTTCAGGTTGTCTTTTAAAATGGCACCTCAGCAGTATGCAGAGATGTCCAGCAAATGACTTAACCTGACAGGGTCTAGTGCACTGAAAGATTGCTCAGCCATGCAATGCTTGGAACTCATCTTAAATTAGAAGAAATTAGGTATACTGTGAAAGTGGCTTGCTCTCTAGTGCTCTGTTTAATTTAATCATTATATTTCTTCAGATTATATTTCAGTAGTTAACTAAAACAAGTAAAGAGTTGATAGCAGAAAAGTGTTTTTTGTTAATAGTTGAAGGAAGAAAGGTCACCAAAGAATTAATGCCTTCCATTGCTGTCTTCTTGCATTTTACTGATCTCAGTATTCATTAACCTAGTTCTCTGAATGGGGAAGATACATAACATTGTATTGTAGGACAGTTGCAGTGACAATTTGAAATAACATTAAAGGCTTTTTAAACTAGGCTCTACAGTAGTATCACAGTTTTTGTGTGATCACCTATAAGTAGCAAGTATTTATTATTCTCTTAGTGAGCATTTCATATCTATTACATCTTTAATAAAATGTAGTATGTTACACTGTAATTTATGTGGACTTTGATTATTACATCTGCACTGTGACACAGTAATGTTATCAGTAAACATTTAACCTAAATATTTTTTCTTAATGATTATAGAATGGTACTACCATGTTCCACTGAAACGATCAGAGAAGTCTGTGAACTCAGAAATCCCAATCCCTCCACCATCCCAGATTCCAGGTC